GTTTTAGGGATTGTAATCCAGATCTGTTTCTTTTGAACTTGCCTTTCATTCGAAGTATTCTCTTCAGCCATGAGAGCTAGAAACTGAGACTCTTACTGTGTTTTGTGGCTCCAGAAGATGATGTTGAGAAGAAAAACCCTAATTTCTTGATGTTATTTCACTACAAGCAGCTTTTTAATTATTAAAGAGAGCACATAACTTCTAGTTTCTTTGATTTGGGAGAGAGGAAGGGAAGCTAGAATTCTGTTCAGAACCCCTGCCTTCAAAATCAAGAAAGCGCAGAAGTTATTTTATTTGAAATTATTGTTGGCACAATAGAAGAGAGAGATGCCATCCAGAAGGAGCTTGACACACTTGAAAAGTGGCCCCATGAGAACTTATTAAGTTCAGCAATACCAAGTTCAAGGTGCTGCATTTGGGTTGAGACAATATGAATGTAGACTGGGAGAGGAACTCATTGAGACTGGTTCTGTGGAGAAGGACTTCAGGGTCCTGATGACAAAAAGCTGACATGAGCTTGCAGCCCAGAAGGTATCATGGGCTGCATCAATAGAGGGGTGGCCAGCAGGGAGAGGGAAGGGATTATCCTCTTCTACTCTGCCCTTATGAGACCCCATCTGGAGCACTGTGTCCAAGCCTGAGACCCCCCCGAGTGCAGGAAGGATGTGGAGCAGTTGGAGCAAGTCCAGAGGAGGGCCATAAGGATGAGCAGAGGGCTGGAGCACCTCTCGTATGATGAAAGGTTGAGGAGCTGGAATTGTTTAGCTTGGAGAAGAGAAGACTTCAGGGAGACCACATTGCAGTCTTCCAGTGCTTGTAAGAAGCTTACAAGCAGAAGGAGGGACTGACTTTTCACATAGCCTGAATAGCGACAGGACAAGGGAGAATGATTTTAACCTAAAAGAGGGGAGATTTATGTTAGATGTTAGGAAGAAATTTTTTCCTTAGGGTGGTGAGACACTTGCACAGGCTGCACAGAGATATTGTAGATGCCCTGTCTCTGGAGGCATTTAGGCCCGGATTGGATGGTCCCCTGGGTACCCTTATCTGGTGGATAGAAGCCTTGCCCATGGCAGGGGGTTGGAACTGAATGATCTTTAAGGTGCTCTCCAACCTAAGCCATTTTATGATCTTAAATGTTTAAATTCAGTCAATTTGTTTAGCTCTTCATGTTTTGTCTACAGAGCAAAGTTACTGTGTGATATACTATAGAATCAATTTACGGTACCTGTTTTATAGGAGGACTCCTGTGAATAATGTTACTATATTTTAATAATAAATGTATTCAGCTTTGCATGACATATTTTGAAATTCATTTGATTAGGCCAGGATGAAGAAATGTATTTCAGTGTAAAAGCATTCCGAAGTTATTTAGAAATGCAGGCTTCATTTTCGGACTCCTATCTTCACTTGAATCAGCTTTCAGGTACAGTGAAACCATCATCTGACCTGTGCAGATCTTCCTTAATGCATTTTTAAAAAGTGTTTTAAAAAGCAGTATACTCCTTATTTGAGAGCAGATGTAGATAAAGACAGGGCCTTTGATGAAACAAGAAAGTGAGACCAAGTTGGAATGGCAAGAGGTACTGATTTAAGTATACCCCCCTACGAGAACACCTTAGCTCAGGCAGTACTCCTCAAAGCTCCACAAAGCTTTTGATCTGTTTTTGCAGTTTGTAATGTAAAAGAAAATCAGAAGAGTTTTGTGTAAGTTAGGACAAAACCATGGCTGTTTTTCAAAGCTTTACTTTAAAACGGTTTCTGAATCTGTGTGAGCATTTTTAGACAAAATCCTTGGTTATAGTGGCACAATCAAAATGATTGAGCTAGCACACCTAGGTGAGTTACTTCTCATTAGCTGAGCCATCATGTGGCTTAAGCTAACACCTTCTACTTTGTGATTAATGTGTGAGAAAAGTGTATTCCTAGTTAATTACAATGTCTCAAATGAAAAGTAGCAACACATTAGTCTCCAGTAATTTAATTGCTTTCACTTATGCATCCATTCCCTTACTTATTTTGTGAGTAGTTTTGTTGATTAAGGGGTGGAATTAGGGCTGAACTTCTTGTGTATGATATGCTTCTCATGAATATTGCACATTTTATTTTTCTATCTTTGCTTTGTTTCTTAATTTCTTCATTTGTAAAATAGAACTTAAAACTGCAAGGACATGCACACATACATAAACACACACACACACGCAAAACCAGGGGAAAAAAAAAAGCCAGCAGTTGAAAGTAAGAATTCTGCTTTCTTACTGTCATCTGTAAGGCTCTTCATTCTCAACCCTTCTGTGCTTTAGCCTAGGGCTTAATTCACTGAACAGTACTGATGAAGCTTGACTTAAGTTTCATTCCAGTTGTTACACCTGTTAGAATGGAAAAGCATTGGAGAGGCTAACATTGCCCGTACTGAATGATTTGGCTGTGAAGATGCATTGGTTAAGACAACATTGGTGTAACTTCAGAACTTCTAATCTGTGTACAGCTTTTCATGTACAGTGTCCATATTTGTGAGTGACAAGCAACAAATGAGCACCTAGACACAGACTACAGTCTAGAAGAACCTCCTCAATAGCAAAACAGGCATCCGCCTGTGCAATGCACCATAGACAAATTGATCAGTGCACATATTTTCATGAGATTACCTGTCCTATTTCCAGATTGACTGTTGGTGATCTCATGATCTTAAGCTCATGAGATGTACTGGAAAAATTTAAGTCAGCATATGTTGAGTGTTAAATCAATTATATGATTCTGCACCATGATACTAGAGCTCTTTCCTTATTATGGTGCTGGCAGACACCTTTGATGATTATTTTTATTTGTGGCCTCATCACAGAATTCTTGTGTGTTTTTGAGGAAGCTGGTTAATCACTTTACTACCAGGCTTTCCAGCTGAAAATCCAGCGGTGCCTCTTCACCATGAAGTTTAATTAGGGCCCAGAAAAAAGAAAACTTTGACTTCACTGAGGGTTAATATTGGTTTCTTAGTATCTGTAAGGCACTTTAAGGAATTCACATGAGAAGTGAGGTAATAAGGAACAAAAAAATCACTGAATGCTGGGCTTACTGAGTTTGTGTTGTGTACAACCACTCTGTAGATGGAGCAAAATATAAACAATTACTTAACTTTCACAGAATGGGGCTGCTGTGGGAAAAATAAATGTTAGGGAGATCTGCTATTTAAACAAAAACAACAACAAAAAAAAAAAAAGAAAAGAAAAAAAGAAAAAAGAAAAAGAAAGAAAAAAAGAGTACAAGCAGCAACTTTATGACCATTTTGTTACAGCTCTTAAAATGAATCGATGTGCTAGGCTTCCACCTGGTTGCTGTTCTTTTTTGCTTATCTTGCACACGTGTCTTAAATGTCTCTCTGCTAAATGGCAAAATGCTAACCAAAGAGTGGGAGTTTATGTCTGTTCTTGGGAGAACTGAAGATCTTAACAGCACCATATCAGAGTAAAACCCATTGTTTCGTAAATACATCAGGAACTTGGTGATTGTGTGGGAAGAGAATGGCGTATTTGCAGTGTTATGTTTTTTAATTTTTTTTCTTATTTTCACCTTACTTGCAGTCTTTCAGCTGCCAATTTCCAAAAAAGCTCAGATAATCAACAGCTGGAAGTGAATGAATAAATAGATGCACCCAATCCAACAACCGATTGAACTCTGAGAAAAATTTAATTTTAAGTGTGTGTCTTGGAGTGCTACCAGAAGCCCTTTAAAATGTCATTGTTCTTCAGGGGAAATTTGAATGTGGACAAAAAGACCATCAATACAGGCTGTCAAAACATCTGTTAAAAATCTGCAAGTTACAAAATATGCATTAGAAAGATAATTAAATATAGATGGCGCAGTTTAAAGGTCTTCATTTTTTTCTGGTTTGTAGCAATCTACATGGAGTAGAGTCAGGTCAGATATACTGCTAGAAGTATATCTACCTTTTTTTAAGTTAAAAAAAGAAAAAACATAGACCATGCTGACCATTCCTCCCGCTCCTCTAAACCTTTCCAAGCTCCTGGTTGGGCAGAAACAGGAAGTTTTCTCTCTCTGGAGAGTAAAGGAGGAAAATGGCAGCTATGAAGAAGAAAAAAAAACAGTGATGTTTTTTTGCTCAACCTGAGAATACTAAATACATCTGCCTATCTCTTCTTTCTAGGGGAACAGACTTCCCTTCTACCTAAGATCCACTGTGTGTTTTCTCCTCTACAGCTAGCGGGAAAATAACAACTCAAATTCCCTTCTTTTTTTCTTGGCTGAAGTTTTTATCTCAGCAGCTTAGATTTCCACCCTTGGCCAACTCTTTGCACCTGTGCTGGATGCTCACTTGGGCCAGACTTGCTGCCTTGCCTTCATCTCTTGGGCATGCACAGTCTACTTCAAGTGGTATGATCCTGGGTCCATCACCCTGAAGGGACTGCGACTGTAAAGAGTTATCAGCATTTGAACTAACTTTTTGAATGAGAAGACTCTACAACTTTGAGATGTAATCTCTTCAAAAAGAAAGCTTTAGAAATAAAACCAGTTAGGTTTCTATGCTGTAGGTTTTGGAGTTTTGGGGAATGTGCTTTTCCCTTCTGCAATTGTACTTTGTGTGTTTACGTTTATGGCTGCTGTCTGAAAAACCAGGCTTGGCTTACTGACAGCTCAGGTCTGATTCTGCACTAGGGATTGTTTATATACTTGTGTGTATTATGAATTCCCTCAACTGTTCAGGGATGTCTGGCAGCAGGTCCTGATGAGGGACCAGACCAGCTGCATTGTAAAGGAACTGGTGAAGTGCATTGCAAACAAAATAGCTAAAGCGTACGGTCGGTGTACCTGAGATGGAGGTGATTCACTTTTGATTTTCTGATTCACAGAATTCACTTTTTGTTCTAACTGACAGTGTTTCGCGTGGCCTGCAAACTCAACAATTTAACATCGTAGCTAAGAAAAGGGGGAAATATCCAAACTGAATGCTCTTTAAGTAAATCTGATTTCTAACCTGACTGCAGCCCAGAAAGGACCAGATGGGGTCATCATTCCCAATAACTACTGTGACTTCTGCCTTGGAGGCTCCAATATGAACAAAAAAAGTGGCCGGCCTGAGGAACTTGTGTCGTGCTCAGACTGTGGGCGCTCTGGTAGGTGACTTCTTGCAGCTTTCTTATATAAAAGTGTATTTGTATTTTGTTTTTTGCTCCTGAAGATTTTGAAGAAAGCCAGCAGATTTGGGAGGGAATAGAAGACAAGGTCTTACCTCTTGTCTGTGTTTGTGGAAAAGGATGATTGGAAAATTTTCTGTCATAAAAACAATTTTAAGCTAATGAGATCTTATGAAGTAATACAATTTTAATGTATTTATTAACTTCTACAAACTTCGGTACATGTACTAGTTGTTCCTTTAACAGAAGAAGAAGACCCTAAAACAATGTTAAAGAATGGGCTCTGTCTTAAGTGCTGCAATTACAACTATAAATTACTTACAAGATTTACGAAAGTTGCATGACAAGCATTTCCATTGATTACGCATTTCATGCATTTTTTTCATCCAAAAAAGAAAGAGGGAGGAAATTACAGGGTAGGGATGGGGGTAGCTGTCAAGAATTATCCTCTTACAAGATGACTATCATTAATTTTGTTTAAAGACATTTTTATTTCTCCATTTTCTTCCCTTTGCTCTTTTTAAATGTAAGCAATTGTGTCTTTCCCATTCTGGATTGTCTTTATTTCTGGACTGCTGTTTTCTTCCTTCCTTTCTTTTTTTTTCTCTTTTTTTTTCTCTTTTTTTTTTTTTTTTGATTTTATCCCAGCTGAACAGTTATTTATAGCTCATATGAGAGGTAGTGGCAATGGTAGAGGAAATAGAAGACCTTTAATAACTGCATGTTCCAACTTAGGCCCAAGTTTTCAGTTCTGTTATTTCTGGGCAGTGGTGATACTAATGGTGATAAGAATTTCAAATATAAACGTGGAAACAAAAGAGATCTTGAAATTCAGTATTGTTGCTACTTCTGTGCTATGGTCACTAAAAGATGTTTGTTGTGTGATGGCTGAAGTGCAAAGTGAAGTGTTCTTGTACTGAACCAATGGCCTGCTCATACTCCCACTGAAATTCATAGTAAGCCTCTAGTCAAATTCAGTGGGAGCAGGATTAGACTCTCACTGGCGAATTGCCTTCTGCAGTTGTTGTGACCTCTGAAGATCTTCTGAAGTGATACTGACTGGTCACCAGGGGACCAGCGGTGAACCCTTTGGTTTTCTCCAGAGGCTTCCCAAAGAATGCTGCACAAACAGTAACATGGACCTTTTAGTGATACGCGTTTGCTTCTTAATACTTAAAGGGAAAAGCTCATGCGGTCTGTGGTGCCAACTTGGAAGATCATTTCCCTTCCCCTTGACTGCTGTAGTTCAATATAACTTATTTCAGCATTGTCCTGAGACTGTACAGTGAGACAGATCCATACTTTTTTCTACTTAAACATTGCTATGGTGATTATATCAGGATGAACCAGAAATACATTAATTTCCTTGATGGCTTAGCGTGGTGGAACAAGTAGATCAGCATGTAACCTAAATTGTGCAAAATCAGTTCCATTAAATGCTATCCTTGTACAAATTCTGACCCACCCTGGGTCATTCATAAGGCTCTGCAATGATGTGACTGATGTGTGATGAAAGTGATTAAGGTACAACCACACACTAATCTGTAAACTAAAACAATGAAAAGTCTTTGGTGTCCATCTTCCTCTTTCTTGATAATGGGGAACATTTTCATTATACTGAAAGAGAGGTCGTGGAAATCATCTTGTTTCTTCCCTTCTTAAAGCCACTAAAATCACATCTCTGTAAGGTGGTTCATCTGCCAATTATTTTGTTATATCCACTTTCGTTCTGTGAACAGGATTTAATTCTTCGTTTCTCAAGCAAAGCAGTTTACTTAACCATGCAGTTATATGGCTGATTCCTGTAGCTGGAGTGAAGACCAAATAGTTGGTTACTTAATGTTATGTTAGTGTTTCTGTGTTTAAAAAACAGCTGTCCCCTGCAAACCGACATTCATTTGCTGAGGCACGAGAGACATCTTTTTCTCTGTCATTTTTAGAGAGAGATTCTGAACACTATTTCTATTAATCACGTAACGTGTTTGAGTGAGGTAGAAAATAAACCGTACTGTCACAGATTTCAGTATCTGACTTCTGTTTTCAACAGTTCTTTTGGTTGCTATTGTTGTTATGGCTGTTCATGTTCTGTGTGGAGAATTACCTGTTCCATATTGAAAGTTGGATTAACATACTCTTGCACTTTTCAGTATTTCCCATGACAGATCTCTTCTTAGGTGATTTAATTGTTGAATTGTTGTTGTTGGGGGTGGTGGAGGTATCGTTGAAGGAGATACCATGAAATCAGAATAGAAGTATTTATTTAGCTTACTTTTGCTTAGTCTTCAAAACGTATGTCATTTTGTCTATAGAGGAGGCTCTTTGGGATCAGGTGATGGGCAGGGATAAAAGTCTTGAGGCTGATGAGATGTCTAATGGGTCACATTTCAATAGCAATAAAGTTGTAAAAGGTGATGCCGGTCTGAAGGACGGTCATTGTGCTTAGAGCTAATGGTGTCTAATTACTTATATGTGCTAAATATCTCTTAAAATCGATCTAAGTAATCACGAGAAAATATTTTAATGTTTTTGAAGAGAGGAAAATATGATTAACCCTTTCGCTGCCATGGCTATGGGCACCTGTGTTAATGGTAGATTTTTTTTCTTTGTAAGAGAAACTGATCCTTGTTTATTTTTCTCACTGCGGTTCTACCAAGGCATATTGTTGAGGTACACGGGCACGTACAAACACACACCTATAAGCTTGATAGTCTGTATTGTTTAATAGTAATGATACTTTAAAAATGATGATGATGATGCCTGTTGCTTAACCCATGTGCTGATATATTCATCATACATGTCAGCTCATTTGGGAAGAGAAGGCAGGAGGGACGAAGCAGCGCCAACACGCACTACGGAGGACTTGTTCGGTTCCACGTCAGAAAGCGACACCTCGACCTTTCATGGCTTTGACGAGGATGATGCAGAAGAGCCTCTCTCGAGCCGAGGAGGTGGCTGTGGTGGCAGCTCTCCCTCTGCAGACAAAAAGGGCAGCTGCTAAATTAACTAAAAAGACACAAACTCTGAGCAATTTGCTGTCCGTTTTACTACTAGAATTATTATTATCTTTTTCTTTTTTTAATTTTAGGTCCTTGGGTGTTGTTTTTTTTTTTTTTTTTTTTTTTTTTGTTATTGTTGATGTTGTTTTTGTTTTTTTTCTGTGGGGTGTACACTGAAAGCACAAGCATTTAAAGTTCTTGACAACCATTTTGAAGAGACAGAAGGTTTTGATTTTCCTGTTTTTTTTGTTGGTTTTTTTTTTTTCCTTTTCATTTTAATTTGTTCTTCTCCCACCTCCTGCCCTTCTCTTTCTCTCTGGAAACATAAAAGGTGGATTTAATATTTTTTTAAATAGTGAGCAGAGTTGATTTTCTTCTCTTTTAATATATATATTGGCAAACCACATAAAATAGAGATGGGTTGGAGAACATGAAAGCAAACCCAAATAGTTTTTTTTAATTATTATTATTTATATAATCTATATATTATTAGAAAAAGTTACTTTTTAAATAAAAATACAAAAAAAAAAAAAAAAAAAAAAAAAAAAAGCAATGGATTTCTACTTGATGATAGAACTGTTTCTAGAGAACCACTGTGGATGAAATTCCTTGGAGGACAAGGAAACCCTTGGTGTGATGGCTTCTGCATTTGAGATTTTGCACTTATTGTGGAATTTGGCTCTTCTTGTACACCTGCTGCACTTGTATTTAACAGCTTGAAGACACAAGCAGCTCCATTGAAGACCATGACCTTGGGGAACACATTTCCATCTCTCCTTTGGACACCTTTACAATAGATCTCTTCCTACCTGCACCCCTTCAGCTCTTCCTCGCTCAGTTCTACTTTTTTTTTTCTTTTTCTTTTTTTAACCTTCACTTCATGGATAGAAATTTCCAAGCGTAGGGATGGAATATAAATTGCAAGTCGTAGACGTCAAAGACAAAACAGATGGAGCAGCAGAATCATGGAAGAAATTATCTGGAAATATACCTCACCTATACTTTTCTTTCCATTTTTAAATTTTACTTCACAGCATTTTTTCTGTGTTGCCCAGATTTTTCTCTCTGTAGTGTCTTGTGAGACACTTTGTTTGCTTTGCAATAGCTTCTCTTGAAATAAACCAAAGCAATACTCATTAAAGTTCCAAGGGCAATGGAGAAGAGAGTGACTCCCTTCCCAGCGACTATCCCAGAAAGGAGGAAACATGCAGCAGGATTTGAAAGGTATGTCCTGGCTGAAATATCTTTCACTGATTGTGAAATCACTGTTCTCTGGATTTTCAAGAGACCCTTGACTGATCTTTGTTGTAGAAACAAATCAGAGATAAAATAGAAATTTATTTGGGCAGTGCCTAGTCCTTCAACTGTGTGTGTGATGCCAGAATTAAAATGTCAGCCTTGTAATAAAGACTTGGGATATATATTGTTCTAGTACATGAATGAAGCCTGTCCAGATGGATTCCATTTCTCTTGCTTCTTTTGATGGGTTGTCACAGTACTATCTGTGAGGGCTCTTTCAGCCTTTTTTTTTTTTGTTTCCATAAACCTTAAAAGAAATAAAAAATTAAAGGATCCAATCATTCTGCTTTAATATGTTTTTTTTTTTTTTTTTTTTTTTTTTTTTTCTGGTTGACTTTAGGCATGAAAGAAGCAGTAGCAAGATTCTTCTGTTAGGGGTACATGGATGTACCTGAATGTAAATCCAGAATGGTGTTACTTATGTTTAGATTACATTAATATACTACCCTCAGAATTAGATGTGTTACGAAATGTTGCAAAATAGCTCTATGTGTTTCTAGCATAGAAACACAGAATGAAAGAGCCACACACTCTTATGAGGAAGGAACCTTGTTTGAGCTTTTTCCCATATTTACAATCTTTTCCTGTTGCTATTCTGTTCCTGCTGGTGTGTTATAATCATCCAAGTGTCAAAACAATGGTATTTTGACTTAACACTGGCATGGAGAAGTATACTTTAATTGATTTAATTCATTCCAAAACTAGTCTTTTTTTTTTTTTTTTTTTTTCCTCTCTGAAAGAACATGTCAGATAAATTTATAGTATTTTGCCACTCTTCTGCATTCACTAAAAGCAAAAACTTCAGTTTTTTTTTTTCCAGAGGTGAGGCACAGGCATATAGGCATCTGCTCTTCCAAAATCCCAGAAAGCAATAGGATTTAGCTTGCACTACTGTATCATCCTGAGAGTTTGTATAGGTAAATATAGACCAGAAATATGTGTGCATAGACATATATATGGACAATACAGACAATAAAATGAAGAGTAATGACAGTAAAGATAGAAGACGCTCCCTAATTATGAGTCCATGAGTCTGGCGTAGGCTCACTTGTTCCATACTGACTTTACTGTAAAATATCAGTGAAGTCCAGTGCATTTCCACTGCATGCATGTTCATAAAACTCATAGCAGAATCTGGCCTGCAGGTACAGTTGTTCCCAGTTTGTAAGGAAATACCAAAAACATGAAAAATCTTTTAGATTAAAAAAATGAACTTCAAATTGATGTTTCTGTTTCTCCAACCCTTCAATCCCTACACTCACATTTATGGTATTAGGATTGCGTTCTCTCATTTTAAAATACAGCTTTTTCTTCTGCTGCTCTGTGATATGGCCATGTGAACAACAGGGAGCAGAAATGTGCCATATTCAGAGCCAAAGAGCAGCATGATTTCTTGCATCCATTTTGTATCTACTTCTTGTGTCCATGTCAGTCATGGAGAAGGATAGGAAAAGAGTTTTGTTCATTCTAGCTGCCTTTGGCTGTCTGAGAGGTGGATGCTTTACCTAGCTGGAACCAGCCAGCTGTATGCGGCTGCTGGTGCAGTGATGACAGTAGTTTAAGTTTACAGCAGTTAGCTCTAGTCACCCAGCTTGGTGCATGTTCTTGCAGCCCATGCTGAGCTCTGTACTGACCGGTGTCCTAGTAGAACCTGAGCTAGCTAGCTGAAAGCTATCCAGGTATGTCATTCTCAAAACTCCAGTCACTTTATTAACTGCAAAATAAGCATACTCTAACTACATTTTTTTCCAAGTGGAGTCCTTACCATTGTCTTTTGTGAACCATGCCTAACACATTCTGGGCTTTTCTGGAATACAAACAATAATCAGATGCCCATAATTTATTAAATCTTGGTTTAGTTTCACAAATGCAGTTACTATAACAATGCATACAGTCTTAATCCTTTCGCAACCTAACCACCCATTTTTGTGACAACTGGGTAGTGCAGTGCCCTGAGAAAAAAGCCACAACTCACATAGTGCACAGAGACTGCCAGCTGACATTTATTACAGATGACTGCATATAAAAAACACCCATCGCTGTTATTTATACCATTTATGTGTATATGGATGGTCACTAGTTCCAACTAGTCCTGAGGAAGGAAAGAAGGTTAAATAGATTCTGTGTTATGGAGAGCAGAGTAGTCTTCAAATTGCTCAGGATGTCTTTATTAGATGGAGATAATCAACCTGAGGAATAAAATCTACATCTCACTGTTTAGTTGAGCAGGCAGAGCAGTGGAACCTGACCAGCATAGCCAGGTCAGAAATTAGAGAACTGCACAGTGCCAATTGTATGTATCCTCAAAGACGCATAAGTCCCAAACCAAACTAGGAAGGCATAAAAAGAGTTTTCAGTGTGAATTCTGGGTTGTACCTGAAAAGTAAAGTCATCTTTGAAATCAGAAAGAACTGTGATGCTCTGTATTCCCCAGTGATTTCAGCAGTTCAATGAAACCTGCTGTTCTGAGCTTTATAAGAAGGAGATCTTTGAAGGCACAGTCCTTCAACTAATCACAAGCCTTGCTCTTCCAGTCCTCCTCCAAAGACATCCTTATTAGAGAAAGGTTAGCCAAGTCTATCCAGAGATTCTCCTGAAACATATATTCTCCCACACAAATCATGTACCAGAATAAAACTGTTCCAATACGAAATGTGAATGAAAGAATGTTTTATCTCAGGTCCTAAATTCAGACTTTTCTGTTTATTTAATTGTATTAGCTGTCTTCTCCGGCCCCTTTCTACTGCTAAAGGATCTTAGAAAAGCCACAGAATTTCCTGAGCCATTCTCTGCAAACTGATTCATAGATGGGAGAGTGTGGAAATAAGGAAGTGACGTGCTGCTTGGGCAGCTGCGTAGTGAGAACAAAGGCTATATGGAGTGTGCATTGGTCTCTAACGTATTTCCTTCTATGGCACTTAGAGGATGTGTAAGAAGGGGCAGACCTCATCTCTTGCATGAAAACACTTCAAAATTTAAACATGGTAGTATTTAGTGAAAAAATTTTAAGAAAATATGACAAATTTTACAAAAATGACCTGAAATAAAGGGAGATTGTGAGGCATATAGCAGAGTAGGATGGAGCTGAAATCTGTTTTACTTCACTTTGCACCTCTTCCCTCCAGGTTTGTGGCTTGTGGGTTGAATGTGTATTCCTTGTATACGTAGTATGCTTGGAATAGCAATGCACATGTGATAAGGTCATGAATGACAACCTGTATGTTTGCCTGGGCTGCTGAAACAGGGTCCAAAGAGAAATTTGCCAGTGGCTTCAGAAGAATTAGCACTGAGCTTTCTTAGCTATTGCTTTTATTGAATGAAACCTCCTTACAAATACACTTAACTGTGGTGTGGTGTAGACAAGCCCTGAGATGGCCATTTGTTTCAATAGAATGTGTTATTAGAATCCCATCCCCACATTGTTTTGCCTTTAAGCTTTTACATTAGTTATTCATTTGGAGTTCCAATTTGCTGTTTTACAGTCCTCAGCTCAGGCTCTTGATTAAAGACAGAACATTGGTTTGCGTGGAGCAACCAGAAATGCTCCCAGAGAATGGCTGAGTCCCGGCTGCATTCTCTCCTGGCTGCTTTGCCTGTCTTTGGTTAATTCTTCTTGTGATGTTTTGAGACAGGTCCTAAAATTATTATTCAAATGCCATCAAACCGTGGAGCTTTCAAAACCTGAATCCTCATGCAATTTCCCTCTTTCACATGGCAAGCAGTTTTACTGAATCTACTCCTCAAGCAAACATTGTGCTGACCCTACTGGGAGTTGTTTTATTGTATAATCTGCAGAATCTTCCCAGCGTGTTTTGTGCTGCAGCATATGTAGATGTTTCCAATAAACGCTCATTTCTTTTTCTCAATTTTTTTTTCTTATTTATTTAAAAAGGGTCTCTATGAGTTATATGTAAAGGATGAGGGATATACATGTGTTCATGCTGGCATGGGGTTGTTTTGACAAACCCTTGCAGTGTAGGAGTGAAGCCAGGATTATTTTTTGCTGATTGAGCCATTGCAGTATACTCTACCCAACTTTTGTTCTGTTTGCCAGATATTTACCAGGGCTGAAAAAGCCCAACCTGTATAAATACCATAGGGTAATGAAGCTAGGTTCAAACCATTTTAGTGTTCCTGTTATATTTCCACAAGTTTAAAGTTGCCAACTTCAGAGAATGCAAGTTATAATAACGTCTAAGGGGGGGAAAAAAAAGCTAATGTTGTAGTTACAAGTTCTGATACCCCTGTTAAGAGGATACAGGCAGTTTGTATCTTTGAATTCTTCTGTCACTGTCAGTTCCTAAGATTTTGGATGTTCATGTCATAGAATCACAGAATCATGTCATCCAGAACTGGTATGAGGTGTGAGAAAGGTGTGAGGGGAAGGCACTCCTTTTTGTAGAAATAAACAGATGTACATTTTAAGCTCAGGAGCCTGGGATATACAACTTAGTCCATTCATAGATTAAATGAAAATGCAAAATGCAGTTTTTCACTTATTTTCTGAGGTTATCATATTGCTATCTGCATGGTTCAGACTTCTGAAAACTTCTTTTGTGCTGTATTGCATGTGCTTGTGGCTCTGTACAACTAATTAGTAACATAGCAATGTAATCAGAGCAGGATTTCATAAACAAAATCGTAGCCTCTAGAGAAGAGAGCTATATAACCTGAATGAAGAAGGTGATTTAATTATGTTCACAGTAAGAAAAATTGACAGCCTTTGGTGTCTTTCTTTCGGATATGCTCCATCATCTTTCTTTTGTCTGCTTTGTATTTACTTATGGCTCCCACCGTCAGTTGAAACTGAATTTGTCGAGCTATATTTTCAAAGAACTAGAATGCAAACAGTGTTGAAAGGTTGACTTGTGCTTTTTTTGCTTTATTCTGAACACTTGCTTTTGTTGTCTATTTGTGTTTGTTTAGTTTTACTTTTTATTGCCTTTCCCTCTGCAGTCAGCCCTGCCCTCGTGGACTCTGGCATCCTTCAAGCAAGACATTTCAGAAGAATGTCGAGAGAAGCCAGGATGCTTTGATACTTCTGATAACTTCTCCTTGCCCTGACCCTTCCGTCCCTGTGTTTCATCTGGCACAGGAGCCTGGACTGTGGGAAGCTGGCTACCAACTGTTCAGAGAAATTCTGGGGATGCCCTAAGCCGGTGCAATACAAAGAATTTTTTTTAAAGCCTTGATTTCACTTTCTTTTAAGCATGTGTATAAACCCAGGTCAAACTGGAATTAATCTACAGTAGAACTGACTGAAAAACAAACTGAAAAAAGACTTAACTATTTTATTTATTTCAATATTTAAGAGAGAAAAAGAGTGCTGAAGTTGCACAGTATTTTTGTTTGAAATACATTTTACTTCAAATTTTAAATGCAATTTTGTGAAGACATAGAATTTTGAAAAAGCACTTAATGTAAAATAAAGACTGAATATTTACTTTAAGAAAAAAAGCTTTTTTAAATAATGAAAATAAAGATCAACTCTGCTCTCTCTCTTACTTTAAAGAAGCCATTCATACATGTGCTGAGTATCTTTGTTTTTTGCAAATTGGATGTGGTAAGTGCAGACTGTTCTGGTTTTCTTTCTTCTGAATAATATTATCCTGTTAGATGCTTAAATCTTACTTTGCTTTTCTTGTGTTAGGCACAAATCTGAACAAAAACTGCTGAAAGAGCAAAGACCAGGCTCAGTGCCTGGATTTTTTTGTTACCAGATGTTGTGTCCAATTCAAAGGACTGTCTTCTCCCCGTAGGATTGATGTGTCTCTTCTGCACAGTAAAACAGGTTTTCATTTGAGCAACTCTGTGAAATACTTCTGCTAAAAGAGAGATTTAAAGAAAGGAAAGCAACTATTAGGCTGTTTTTTGTTTTGTTTTGTTTCTTCTCATTACTATTATTCTTTTTTTTTTTTTTTTTTCTTTCATTTTTTTTCCTTTGGTAATTCCTCAGCTGATTGTGAGTTGGTTGTAAGGAAAGTATTCTGTTTGGATGCTCTTGGCATGTAGCTTCCTTCCGGAGTCAAGGATGTTGCCCTATGTAGAAAACCTGTATATTTGCCCTTTTTTATGAAATAATGGACTTTGAAAAGTATAGAGGTACACCCCATGTCAGCAGTAAGCAACAGAGGATACTCAGCAGGAGAAGAATTTGAGTTCCCACAGGCTGCAATCCTAAATTGTCCGGTGAGGGACGTTCACAGCCTTCATTCTGGGTTGTTAGCCATCTTCTCAATGAAATGAGTTCTGCTTCATGCAAGCACTGGAAAATTTTGTTGGCTGCCAAATCTGCTCACAGTGGATAGTTTGTTGTCATGTGTGATGCAGGCTAGCAAGGATGCGAGCCTTGTGTATTAGAAGGGCATTGGACTTGGCTCTGAGATTAGCTGTCCTCTGTAGTCAGATGTATCTATTGGTATAGACCCAGTGTATAGATAATAAAGTGTTTTGCTAATGTGACTTATGTTGGTTTTTTTGAGTGAAAAGATTGTCTACGAAAATGCATCCTGTGTAGGGGAAGCTGACAGAAGGTCTCATGCTGCATCATATTTCTTGCACACCTAAAACTTAAACTCACCTCTTTGAGAGGTTTCCTTGTGTCCGTCGCAGTGTTCCCTCCCCCTTCTCCTGCTCCCTTTGGATTGACACATAGGGCCAAAAATAGCCATATTAAATCTCTGGTAGACCTGAGTTCTGCTCTCACTAAGTTGAATGACAAAATTTATGTCATAATGAGGTTCTTTACCAGGATGGGTTTGCTTTGATAATTTTGTTGTTTCTGCGCTTGCATTGGTGAGCTGCCGCTAGAGAAAAAGAAGAAATCAGATTTTATTTAATCAAAATATAATGAAACGCACAACCATAATGAAGATTTGCAAACTGTAGGGTCTGTATTCAGTTTGTGTAATATTCCTTTCAAATAAAAGTTCTGCTTTCAATGCCCCTACTGTATATTCCTCTGTAAATATCACATTATCAAACCGATTCTACAGGGTCTTTTTTAGTGCAAGTAATCTTTTAAAAAGACATTGTTGAATAACATACTTGTACAGATACTTTTCTAAGCTCTCCATTGTTTTTAATACTCTCTTTGAAGCTTAAAATAAAACTTCCTCCTCTATTGATTTTGTTTTTCTTTCCCATTTTGTCAATTATAATTTTTGCTCCTGGATTTTGTTTTGTATCTCTTAATGAAGCTTTGAAGATAACCAAAACTTTTCTTCCTTTTCCCCTTTTACTTTCTTTTGACCCCATTCACCGGATTGCAGAAACTGGTCCTGTTGCTTGCTATAGTAAAGGTAGGCAGGAAATACGACACAGCTTTTGTGTAGGACTCATTTTAAGAATATTTCCTGTGACTTGGTGGTGGTAGATGATCTTCCTAAGTATGTGTGTGTTTTAATAACCTTTTCTATGAAATTATCAGAGTCGCAGTAAGGTATTCTAGATTGAAAGGTGGAGTTTAAATTATTTGGTGTTCTTTGTGTGGATGACTTCTTATGGAGACTTGATCCTACCTCTGGCATTTCTAATCCTGCCTCTAGAGTGCTTGTCTAACACATCCAAATCTGTGGTTTCCTTTGCTGCATTTCACAGTGCAGACATGAATAGTTCCTTTCCCTTATACATGTAAGATTAATAGTGCAGTTGTATAGAATGGAAAGAGAAAATGCTGTTTCAGATTAGGTGCCATTTTTTAACAAAAACCTGTGTTTCCTCTTCCCTAATAGGTCTGCTTTCATTTTTACGAAGCTCTGCTGTGTTTTCTCTGCCTTGTCATCAATTGCTCCACTACCGGCAGAGGCTATACGTGGACCTTCTTATTTTGGCAGCTGCTTACAAGAATAGCAGAGGGGGTGTAATTTTTAAGCAATCTTCTGATGTGGATATAAGGTCTGTAGAGTAGTGGCAAAAAAACCCCAACAGATTAAATGACAAATCCTTAGGACAAAATGTCCTAAGGAGCACATCAGAAATGAATCCAGAAAGAAAATATATGTCTCTATAAAACCATTATAATTGTACAACATGAACTCCTACCTGCATGATTTTCAGTATTTGTATGTGACAGAGCATGTGAGAATATTAGCTATTTCCTGTAAAGTTTTATTTTTTATATGTATAATTTCAGTTTCCTTGAGTGTTTTGTTTCTCCGCTCAGCTGGGCAAAGCATGACTTGAAAGCTTCACTTCTTACCTTCAGACCTTACGTTGAAGAGGCCTGTGACAGATTCACTGGAGGAAGGAGGAAACCCAAGGGTTTCAGCTACACTTACTGTCCCCAGTCAGTGTGGCTCTTGGGAACTTCTTTAGCATCTGGTAGAGCAGCCTGTAGGCTACTGGCTGGCCTGTCCTCAACTGTTCTGCAGATGGAAGGATCTTTCCCTCCTTTGCAAGTTTTGGATATTGGGGATCAGAGACAGCTGTGGAGGTGGGATGAAGTGCTAGCTGTATTTCTGAGCTGTGCTGAGAAGGCAACTACAATGCTTTCCTGAGAGTGCATACTGATGTTGTTGGTTTTAAAGCCTTTTCCAATTCCCTTTCTGTAATTTTCTCTCAGATATTTTACCATAATCTGAATTTCAAGCCTACAAAACTACTTTTCTGAAGTAGTTTTCTCTCTTTCTTAAGCCACAGACCTGGAAATATAAATGCTATTAAGGAAATTTTTAATTGTGCAGAAATTATCTGGTCTGGAGAAAATACCACTGTTCCCTCAGGTCGCAGAGGAGATTTTCTTTGTTATGCTGGCTAGGAAGGTGTCTTACTTTCTTGTCGGGGGAAGAGTCCTTGCTGGTAAGAATCAGATGTGGTAGAAGTTAGAAGTAAAAGTGTTTGCCAGCATTGCTACAGCTGTTGGGGGTCTCTATGGCTGTTGTTCCCTGGGCTGAGATTGTACTTGAAGGTTAACAAAGCTGGGAGCTGCAATCCTGGGCTTTAAGTGCAGTGATAGAGCTATTAGCTTCCTTGCTTTGACTTAAGTTGGTATACTGCACCTGCTTAAAATTTATTCCAAACTTTTGCCTGGTATCAGGGAAAAGAATCCTCTTACTTGGAGTCATTCAGCCTCTAAATCATGAAAAAAAAAAAACAACAGAACTTTTCCCTGTAGACCCAAACTTTTATATACAGTATTCGTTAGCAATAGTAGAGCCTTCTCTGTCCCCCTCCTATTCCTAATGTTGAAGATGGATCTTTAGGACTTCCACTATGTAATATATACACAGGGGAGCACATAAACATTGATTATTCCCCTTAAGTTTGGTTGAGGTTGTCTGGATTGTGGCCTGATGTGTTATAATCTCCACTGTTCCCTGGAAATTATTGTAAAATTGTATTTTGTCTGCTACACTAAAGCAGGGCACTTGCAACAGTTCAAGTCCTACGTTTCATTTTAATGATTAAACTGAGAGCTACTCATCTGTGGCATCTTATTTTCAACAGTCTATTTTTTAAAACCTGACTACTTGTTTTTGTTGTTGTTTCAGCAAATGTTCCTGTTGTGTGTCTAGAAACTTCTGTGTGCTACTTGATGAACTTTTTTTTTCCAGTAGGCATTAGTTCTTTGTGTTTCCACAATGTGTGCACCATGGGATGGGAGAAGTATGGCATTTACCTTTAAAAAGCACGGATTTCTGAAGTACAGTGTTGTTGCTAATATTGCTACCCAGCATATAACTAGAAAGCAGTTTTGATGTAGCCTAAGATATCTGCAGTGGCTCTGAATGGCCTACAAACTATCACACTGCTATGGAGAAAACACTGAACAGTGAAAGCTAGTTTATCTCCAGGGTTGCATGATTATTAGGAGTCATTTTTTGCTTGAACTGAAGCTCCCTCTCATTACACAGCTTCAGTCTTTGCTATTAGTGTCCTCGTGTTGGTGTCTTTGTTGTGGATTGCAGGAGAAAGAACATGACCAAACCTGTTAGATACAGTTACCTTTTTTGAAACAGACAAGATTTTAAGTAATGCTGGAGTGAGTTTTGTCAAGCGTTGCTGAAGGTGTTGCTTGCTCATTTAGATTTCTTTGAAGTACCAATTACCATTACCTTCCTCGTATGTTGATTTCAGGAGTCAGTACTGAGGCCAGCTCCCGAGGTGAGAAGTCTTTGTATGAGAAATCATTGAACGCTATGCTGTTACTGAAGGAGTACTTCTATTTCAGTGTAAGCCATAGCTTTCCTGTTCAGGTAGCACTTTGTAAGGCAGACTTTATGTTATATAGAGTGATTTTGAGCTTATGTTTGAGAAATTCACTTCCATTTTCAGCACAAATCATAGTTGGTTTGCATCAGTGCTCCGCTGGGAGTGGCTTAAACCTGTTAAACAGCGCTAAAGTTCCTCAGGCTCAACAACTCATTTTAGCATGCAGTGGATTCTATAAAAGGGCCTTGCTTCAGAAATCTCATCTATTGCTGGGATCTTTGTACTTGGGATTCTTAAAGAACAGGTTCACAGCTCTTCTTGGACCTTTCTACACCAGGGATTTGTGTCTCTGCAAGGGTCCTTAAGGTGCCCAGAACCATGTCAGACCATCAGTGTAAGAGAGGACTTCTCAGATTCCTTGTCATTGCCAGAGCCACTGAGCAGCAGTACCACTAAGAGCAGGGTCAGAATACTTAACAGATCCCAGTAGTACTGTGACGATCATTCACTGGCATTAAATAGAATAATGTTCTACTTTCGTATGGCCTCTGTTAAGCAATTCCTCTGGTGCTGAAAAGAAGCAGGGCTAGTGAACTGTTTAATGAGGGACACTTGTGTCCACTGCAGTGGAACTAGCTAATTTCTTGTTTCATCTGAAGTGATAATATCTAGCTGCTGTGAAATATGGTTAAATCATTGATGCTCACTTGTTACAGGTTAAAGGATGTCCTACACCCAGACTTGGTTAATCTGGTGTAGAAGGTCTAGTGCATTCTACAAAACCACGTGGATTTTAATCAGGTGTTTTTCCAGTGAAGAACAAAAAATCCTGCTGTTTTGGTGTCCCTGGCATCATTTTGTTACAGAGTTATTCAGAAGGGCTGTTCAAGTGATGGAACTGAAAGATACCGTGGTGAGGAGAAATGATTTCTTTTGCTTCAGAATGAAACGTGTTCTATTTTTCTCAATGGAATGACCCTTTCTTTTCCTTTCCCTCTGCCAAGAGGGCTCTGACTTGAATGAAACATTTCATTTGTGACGTTTTTTTTTTCTTCTCTTAAAAGCAATTAAGTGGAGCTCACTTTTAAAGCATGAAAGTAAACCCTTTTATTTGTAAAATACTGGCACAAAATGTCTCACCCTTTCTGAAAAATCTGTTTCTGCCTCTGCTGTTTGTTAACCCTGTCTGCTCCCCTCATTTTCTTTTGGCAAAAAGCACTTTGTTCAAATTCACCATTTACTCAGATCTCTGTGAAATTGCATTTTTTAGAAAGCAAACTTGTACTTTTTACTGCCCCATTCTGAGTGTGTACTGATACTCTGCAGTGCGCTGAGCTGCTGCTTCCCTTTGACTGTTGACATTGCTGGGATTTTGATGGAGAAATGTAGACTCTTTGCCATGTTGATAAAATTTCCATGGACACTTAAAAATTCCCAACCAACCTACTTCTAATTAATGGAGAAGGGAAAGATCAGAAGACAATGGGATTTTTCCAGCTTCTATCCCGCATTACAAACAATGGAGAGTTTGTTAAGAGTGGTGCCTGTTCCACAGCTGAGAGAGCTCCTTTAAAGCAATGGGCAACTGAAGTAGCTTGCTCAGAATTGTGTTTAGCTGAGCGAGGCAGTTCTGGTTATGTCTGAATATACAATACATTAGCAGCAGAGTAAGTGATGTTTGTGTGGGAAAGTCAGACTGCTTGTGTTTATGGTGTGTTTGTAAAGGTTATCCGCCATCTAACAATCGTGCTGAATTTCTTGAGTGGTATATAATTCCCTCATGTAACAATGAT